AGGGCCAAGAGCATTAGACTACACTGGAAGTCCATTTTTTGTAGCCAGCTCAAGCTCTCGGGCCTTAGCAATTTCGGCATCAAAGTCAATGATACCTGTTTTGGCCTCTTCCAATATTTTTCTCCTCATTCTATACATGGCATAAGTTTTTTCAACAACGGGGGAAGTCGTTCGATGCTTAAGTTCTTCTTTGAATTGAGTTACCTCGGCAAGGCTTTCGCGGGCGCACCTAATAGATCTAAGGCTAACATCAAGGTCGCGAATAGTTAAACTAAAAAGCCTATTATGTTCGATAATTTTCCTGTACTTCTCTTCCAAATGGGCATGTTTCGCTCTGACAGCAACAAGCTCTTAGATTTTGGAGTTCAAGGTTGCCTCTAAGTCAGTCACTTTTCCAGCAGTGGCAGCCTCGCGCTCGGTTGCAACAAAACAACGTCATGGACTTCAGCCCATTTGGCCTTGGCTTCATCAAATCTAAACCTCAGCGGGATAATTTCTTGGATAAGGGTTACCACCTCTTGCTCGCTTTGCTGCAAACGAGCTTCCAATGCAACGGCCTCAGTGGCCCTGGCTTCTAGTTTTGAGAGGCGAGCGACACTTTGCTCCCACTTTGCCAAAAGCTGATCCCGAGCAGAAGTAAGTTGGCCTACAAAACAAGAAAGGTAAAACTCAGAATACACAAAAGTAGAAGAAATAACAAAGGAAGAAAGGAACGTACAACTGCGACATTATGCATGGCGTTGTTCAACAAGCACTCCCCCGAGATCGCTTGAATATTTTCCCAATATTTCTCTGAAGCTAAAGGATTCGGATAATTAGCAAACTCCAATGGCTGGGATAGCAGGTTGCATCCGGTAGAGATTGAAAGAATAGCATTCCTCCTCCTATGGGGATCTTAAGAAGGGGCATCATAATTTTGCCCCAAATTCCCATGAACTGGGAACGGGGGAAGAGGAATATCTCCTTCATAATCAGATGTGGCCGGTAGAAATGATGTAGTAGTTGCTAGTGGAAGAGTAGATGAAGATGAAAGTGATGTGGCAGTTGCTGGTACTCGTGAAGACGGGGATGAAGCTGATGGAGTTGAAGGGTGTGAAACAGCTACATCGAGTGCCGCAATGGTTGTTGAATGCTCGCCAACCAAAGATGGTAGGGACCCGATACTCAGCCCCACAGTACCGGGAATAGCAATGAGGGCTCGATAGCAGGAGTTGGTGTTTTCCACTAAATCAAACTCCCCCCAAAGCGCTGAGGTGTTGTCCTTGGACAGTGTAACTAACTTAACACATTGAGCATTCTGTTGAGTTGATGATGAACACTGCCTTCTGTGTAGAGAATCCCCATCATCACTAGTTTCTCCATCATCATCAATCATCACGGTGTCTATGACCGGCCCGGGAGGAAGGATAGTGATCACAACTTCCGGAGATGACCCAGGGGCAATAACATTCGCCCTCTTATTCTTTTCCCCAGCTGCAGAAGAACACCTTCTTTTTGGTTGCTTGTTCTCCGGCCGGGGACCCTGTGATAAAATATCTGTGCCCGAAGCAGGACCGGAGACAGCTATTCGAGTAAGCGCTTCCTGATGCAGTCTCACCGCATTAGCAGGATCAGCCAAGATGTCCTCCTCGAGGACAACAACAGAGCCTGCAGGTAGACCTAATTTCGTGAACAAGTCAGAAGGTTGCCTACTGAAAGCCCATGAACAAGGGTTAGCAGTAGGGAATTTTTCTTCAAAGTGTTTTATGGTATTAAAACTTCTAGGGATGAAAGAACCCACCATTGGAGGAGCAGAGTCTTCGGCTTTTTTCTTGTTCTTTGAAGAACTAGCACGTTTTGAAGAAGAAGCCATTGAATGGAAGAAGAGAAAAGTTTTTGAAAAGAGTTAGAGAGAAGATGGAAAACAAAGGTGTAAATTAGAAGCTAGGAAAATTATGAAGTGCAATGGAAAAAGGATGATGCGTATAAGTATAATTTTGGCGACTAAATTTATGGCCATGATTACCTCTATAATCGGCAAAAGTTATGCTGAATCGTGGGATGACGCGTGTTCGGGGAATTAAATGCAAAGAGACGTGCGTCCAATTAATTGTCAGAAGTCTTTAGAGGGAGTTATAGTAATTCCCGCCAAAAGAGTATTTCTACCAACTTTTCGGTAACACAAAGTTATGCCACGAAAAAATAAGGGGACTATCTGTATATGTAAAATTTGATATGACAGATGGTCATCTAAAGGAAGGGCATGTGGAACCCGAGGCGGGGATGGCCAAAGACCGAACACAGCTATTCCACTTGTCACCGGAAGGGACAATGTTCATAAAGATGTGTTAAATGCTCTGCGCCCAGTAGCATTTAATAAAGAATATTATGCGGCATTAAGAGCGACAGCCCGCTACAGGGAATTTGGCATTTATGTCCACCGTTATGTCTTCATCAATGACTCTCATAATTGACATTAAAGGAGGGCATGATCCTAGGACCTCCTTTCCTGGACATAACTATAAATAGTGAGCTCAGTTATCATTGTAGAGGAGACGAATTTTCTAGCAAACTTACACTACATTCTATACAAAGCTTAATACAATTTTACTTTTTTGCTTTTTGATTTCATCGTTGCTGTGCCCGGAAACCTTATTTCTGAAACTGTCATCTCTGTTGTTTCATCTACATTTTATTAAGACTAAGTATTGCATAATTATGTACTTATTTTTTTATTTTCATGATCAAATTAGTTCACTTGTTTAGAAACCACGTATAAATCAACTGTATCATTTTACGAGCAAACAAATAGTGCCTTAACTATGTTCTTGAGCAATTTTGGTTTTTCAAGCTAAATAGAAGTGGGTACTTTTTATCTGCGTCAAATATTTAACAAACTATGGTTAATTGCTGAAAAAAATTCAAAAATAGCCTGATTTACAATTGCTAATTAAAAAGTAGCCACAATTTCAAAAGTAATCGAAATTTAGCCACTTTTTTGCATGTAAAAATAGAATCTGAACAAAAACACCCTTAAAAGTCCGAAAACATTCCAATATTATATACTAGAATTCAAATTTTTTAAATATGAGATTTCAACATAATATGCTGGAGTTCCAACATAATATGCTAGAAGTTTATGCATAGAAGCTCCATAATCCTCCATATTATCCTAGAACTTTCCGTATTTCAACTAGGCAATTTTTATCCAGATTTTATCTTCCCGTAAAATAGTAACTATTTTTCAATTACTAGTCAGAAACTAGCTAGCCCTTGTTATTTGTACTTAATTGCAAGCGGTGGTGCTTGCTTGTGGGCCGATTGAAACTTTTCATGATTTGTTCTTCTTTGTTTTGTTTTTTTCTCTATATTTTTAATTATTTTTTGCAATAAATTTACTACTTTTATGCTTTATACTAGTTATTAACATGTTAGTTCTACATTTACACGTTGATTATATTTTAAAATCGCGTTACCTTTGAAGAAACCTAAAGCCAAATTTAAGGAAAAATACCAGTTATGTCCATTTAGAAATAACTTATTATAAAAATTGACAATTTATAAAATATTACTAATAGTAGCCAAGTATTACCATTATTAGCTAATTAGCTATTTGTAGCAAAAAAAAGGGTCAAAGTTTTGCTTTCTTTTGAGTGGGTGTTATTAGAATATATTGGGTACATCTTAAGAAGCTTGAATCTCAATTTTGAAATGATTTGGAGGAGTTTTGAGGCAGTTTGAATTGAAAATTCGAAGTAGAAGATGAACATGAAAAAAATAACAGGTGTATCACACTGTGCATCACATATGTATCATATTTGTATCAAATGTGTATTACATATATATCCATTTATACCTGCGTATGAGATACATGCGTGATACATGTGTCGCGGAAGAATTTTTTGAACTCGATTTTAACTATGAATTTTGATACCAAATCAGTCCAAATCACCTCCAATCTTTCTCAGATTTTGTATATTGACTTATTTATATGTTTTAAATGAATCCCAACCATACCCGTTGAAAAAACTCTTTTTTTTTTCTTAGATTTTTGGAATCTTATATATATATATATATATATATATATATATATATTTTATCACCTTATTTGTTACCTCATCCATAAAGTTTTCTTTTTGTCTTGCATCTAATGTTGCAAATCACGCTTAAAAATATGGAAGGAGATTTTTGTATGTGATTCTTGGAGAGAAAGAATTTTATTTTTTTGGGTTTCGAATTTTATATGTGTTTGGATAGTTTTGGTAATTTTATGATTAATGGCTAAAGGTTGGTGAGTTAAAACTTTTTTGGGACATTTCTTTAAGATTCCCTAAATTTAAAGATAGCTTTATTCGAAGGTAACCTAAAGTTAATTTTATTGTTTCCTCTCCTTTTGTCTTTGTGATTTTTTTTTTTTTTTTTTTTTTTTTTTTTTTTTTTGCCTTTTTCCACTTCATACACAAATTCTAAAAGTCATTGATTTTTCAAACTATATCTTTTGAGTTGACTCCCTATAACTTTTCCGTTTGCAAATTTTGTGAGATTTCAGTTCAACCGTAATCAAATTTGGGAGAACTAAAATTAGATGCTATAATTAGGGATTCAATTAGAGAGTAGTTGTCATTAAGGATATTGTAGACAATATCGGTGGCAGAAAGTTTAGTTAAAGAGGAAATATGCGACTGAAGATGGAAGTGAAATGTATGGTATTGTGGAGAAAATTTTTAATAATATTTTTTCGTCTGAGGTGAGTTTAGAAGGTGCACTTTTAACTTGTCCTGACTAACCTAAAACGTTGATTTTTCTGTTTATGCGGGAGAAAAAGGGGGAAACACAAATTAAAGAACAAGAGTTAAAGTAGGAGGAATGCCTTTTTATCTTCCATTGGAAATTAAAAGTTAGTAAGAGATTTACTAATTTATGTAAATACAAAGGAATTCCTCACCACAAAAAGACTACAAACTAAACAACCCAATGAGAACAACAGTCAGAATACAAGTATATATATAAAGCATCCCTTCAAGTTGGTAGGATAACAAAAAAGGTGCTTTCTAATTTCAATTTGCACCTGCAGAAAGAAATATCGAAAGCCCAACCAAAAAAGAATAAAATAAGAAAAACAAAAGAAGGGAGAAAATGGCAAAATCAGCAGTAATCTTCTTTGTCAGTGTTATTTGCTTGTTCTCCATTCTAGGGCTTACTCAAGCCTATGAAAAACCTCAATTCATTGTTGAAGGAATTGTCTATTGTGATCCTTGTCGTTCGGCATTCAAAACTAATCTTAGTCAGCCCTTAGCAGGTATTTGAATTTTTTTATCCGTTTTGTCACATATTCTTTTTCCAATTACTCAAATTCAACAAATTGAAATCCATCTGCTAGGTGTGGATGTCATCATATCCATTTCTAAGAATAAATAAAGAACATTGATCACTGATCATTACGATAATGATGAATAAGAATTTCTTGTGACATTTTCTGCTACAATTGTGGGGAACGGGTATTGAGGATGACAAATTCAGGAGCTAAAGTCTATTATACATGTACACCTATTTCTCCCATTATTAGTTATTTTATCAAATTTAATTTGTTTTTAAATGTTTCACATTCTAGAAATCAAAATATTATTTAAGTTATTGATTTTTTTAAACCATAACTAGTGAGAATTAATTAAGTGAGACGATGTTTAAGAAAGATGAAAGATAATAATTGAGACAAATATTCTAATGATTAAGGCTATTAAATGCCTTTTTAAAAGGTATATAAAAATTTTAAAGGACTGTAAATTCAATTGAACAAAATTAATCTACAAAGCTAGTCTCGTCTCTGGTTTAAGATCAAGATAATTTCAACCTATGTTCTCCCCCTCCTCAGAGGCGATTTGTACCATTGAGAGGTTACTAGTCCCGTAAACTTTGGCCGAAATTTTTTATATATATATAAATATACACGTATACGTTAAAAAATGATGATATAAATAACTCGGCATCCTGAACGAAGCCTTTAAGGGGAACTAATAATAAAAGTAAAGTTGCCCCATCGCTTAAAAATCCCCTCGCCCCTCCCCACCAAGAGTAAAGTGGCAAATAAATACCAATAATACTAACATATTAGCATGCATCCAAATATGCAGGTGCTGGTGTGCGGTTGCAATGCCGACATCCTGAAACTGAAGAAGTCACCATCACAATCGCTAGCCAAACCAACTCCACTGGATATTATCACTTGCTGGTAGAAGGAGACCACGAGAATGAAATCTGCGAAACTTATTTGACAAAGAGTCCAAAGGAAGATTGCAGTGAGATTCCAGATGAAGTTCATACTAAAGAATCATCAAGGGTTACTCTCACTAACAACAATGGCATGGCTGGAAATTTACGTGAAGCTAATGCTCTCTTTTTCTTGGCCAAAAAATCCTCATCAGAGTGTGCACAAGAATTCAAGGATATGCAATATATCCCCGAACTTAAAGATGTGAACCAGGCTTGAAGATTTATTTATTCTGGGACTAGTAGAATTAAGTATAACAAGACAAGTCCTACATTTTGATATGTTCTTATTTACATCTAATAAATTACTTTAGGACATGCTCATTTTAAAGTTGTTTTCTGTTTATAATTTGGATCTTGATTTTGAGGCTTGAGGGGTTCTTTTTTTCGTTCAGATCTTTGTAGCAGGGATTTACATTTACTATATTATTTCTAGGCTCTAATGTACGTACACATACAGTGGCGGAGCCAGAAATTTTACTAATGAGTAATGTCAAAATATAGAAACTGATCAACGTCCGTTAGGAGACATCCAATTAAAAAAAGTTGGCAAAATCAACTAATTAATTTGCTGAGAAGATTAACATGGCTTTGATGGTTAATACAAATAGTTTTATTCTCGATCAAATTTTTTATATTTAAATGCCACAACCTTTTAACATCATTAATTTTCGGACGGAAAGGGCATATGTCCAGCACATACACATTTATCAGCCTATGTGATACTCCATAAGCATAAACAAACAATTATCGATAAGCTCCATTACTTACCAAATAAATCATATTACTTGTTCTCAATCACTCATCTTTTGTGCTGCTCCCTTTACTTGTGTTCTGTTCGCTCATATATATACCTACAAGTTTTTATGTTGAAAGTATTACATAATTTTACTAAATACATGTGCAATTAATTATAGGCGTATATATGGAGCGGGTTGGTTCAATATTTATTAAAACCAAACTAACTATATCGGTTTGGATTGGCACGGTTTTGTCGGTTTTTTCGGATTTTTTTGTTATATGAATATTATTTCGATCTTAGTTTGTTAAAGTTGTAGATAAAGTTTTGGTAAGTGAATATATGTTCAGTAAAAACTTAAAAACTAACAAACATATATGTTCTATTAAAATATTCTTATGAGAGAATCTTTATAGTAACACATGAAACTTATTTTCTTAGTCGTTTAATTATAATTTTTTGTTGATGTATGCTTTCAAGGTTAACCGAATATAATAATTAAATATAAAAATTAATATGAAACCTAAATAATAATATGTTTAATTTTAAAAGTATGGGAATACTATTTTAATGAAAAAAGATATAAGAATTAAATAGATCTTGAAATATGAATATAAAAGAACAAAGAGATTGACGCATTTCAATAACACTTAATAAGAAAGTGATGATACGATCCATTATTTAAAGTAGTAAAAATAGACGCACCTCATAGTTTTATTAAATATTATATTCCATGAGAGGAACCCAAATATTTCTAGACATTTTTCAAGAAAATTCTATATAAAATCTTAAAAGTATACATAAAAATTATACATTTATATGTCGGTTTGATTCAGATTATACCAAATCAAATAAATCAAACTTTCGGATTTTTTAATTAATTTGATTTGACTTATCGGTTTGGTGCGATTTTCCGATTTGGTTTGAACACCACTAATTATATCAAATTTAGGAGAGAACTTTAGCACAAAAAAAAATGAGAGAGAATTAATATGAATCCTGAATGTGTTGTACAAGTATTCGAAACATTAGAGAAATTTAAAAATTAACGAGGACTTCATGATATAATTAACGTCACAGTCCAAGAATCTTCCTTTATTTAGGAAAAACAAAAGTCTGAGGATCTATATATGTTAGCTTATAAAATAAATCCAAAGATAGAGTACGATTTATTTACTGGATTCTGTATATTTTTTGTCAGGCCTAATTAATGATATAAAAGCAAATATTGCAGAACATGTCAAACGCGAACTGAATTTTTTTTTCTCTGGTTACCAATAGAACGTTGAACTATGTTACTTCTTTTAAAAGTTAAACTATTATTTTACAGAGATATTTCTTTATTTTTTAAGAACTTTTCTTAACTTGCGAACCTGATATACGCATACATTTTTTTTTATCTAAAAAGTATCTTACATATAGGTTTAATTCGTTTTTGACAGCTTAAGCACTAGAAAATATTTTTTAGATATATAGGTGATAGTGAGATTTGAATTTAGTACCATCACCTGTACTAATAACAGATTGAATTGATGATCGTCTTATGTCAAAGTTTATGCTGTTTAGAGTAATGATACAATTATTTATACTTAATTTAGTTTGTGAGGGCCACTTATGTTAGCAAACTGTATTTGTAAAATAATTTTGGAAATATAAATGAACATAAACAGAAATGAACATAAACAGGAGTGAACAACGAAATAACAGAAAACCAATTCGAGCCCACTGAATTCACAGTGTTTCCTTAAGGAATTTAATCCCCTCCTAGTACTCAAGGTTATGGATTATTTCCTCTCGAGATAGAACGAATTATACACTGGTGTTGTGGTACTTCAAACCCCAGTGTTTCACCGAACACAAAGTTCGGTAGCAAATCACACTTACTGTTGCTTTGTTTGATGCTAAAAGTATGGAGAAGAAAGAGAAGAAGCTCAGAAAATCATATAGAAATTCTGAGCAAAATAGCCTTGTATTTATAGCCAAAGTTGGGCTGAAATCTGAAGAGGTACAACTCTTCAGAATGGTTGTTTATGCAAAACGGCCACAACATAAATGATAAATGACATAACATAAATGGCTATTTACTCAACAATAAAGAGGGTAGTTAATTTTCTGTTACCAAAACAGAAAAACGGATTGGATTTAATATTAATATTCTGTTATTAAGACAAATATTTAATAACATTTTTGTTAATATTTTAATATTAACAAGTAAATTTGGTCCAAAAAATTAATCAATCAATTGACCAAATTCAAATCCAAATTCGAATCCGAAGCCGAAGCCGAGCGAGCGACGATGACGACGTCGCGAGGTTTGCCTTCTTCTCAACTCTTTAAGAGCTAGAAGAAGAGCAATTGTTTATATACCCATAAAAAACCTATTCCTCTTCCAATATGGGACAATGTCCCTTTGTCAAGGGGAGAAACTTAAAATTTCACTCAAAAATTTCATTTCCCTCCATTTCTCATTCACCCTCTTTTAAGTATTTAATATATTAAATACATAAAAATCCAACAATCCCCCACATGAATGGGGAATGGTTATATCACGGGAGTATGCATGAAAAACTGTGTGATTCGCAAGCAAGGATTAATTGCATCTGGATAAGTAGGTTTCCCTTTGAACTTTCCGTAGTGAACTTATGTCGGATATACTCGATCAATCGGTAGATTTGATATCTTTGAACCGTCGAACTTTGGTGTATACCTAGACAACCACAAGTCACACAACCAACCCTTAACCGACTTTGGTTCTCATTGTTGTGTTCGTTTCACCCATGAACACCGCCTGGTTTCATAAGTGCGTAGAGAACTGGCCTTACAAAGTTCTCCTTGAAGCGGCTAACACTTCACACTTACATAGGTGATTCCTAAATGTATCATCCCGTAGATACACTATTTGATATACCCGTATCAAATTTAGAAATCATTAAAAAAGCCTTAATGTTTTATCCTTGATACTGGACATTGTCTCATTTCGAGAATGGACCAAAAGTTTAGTTGACAATGTTGAACCGTCCATTAATGACTTTGTTTGATCTCCTTGAACCTAGATCTTGGGATCTCCATTCTTCTAGGTAGAGTTAATGTTGTATTGAGGTCCGGGGCAAACGGCCCTAAACGGGCCTGGGCTTGAGGCGGGCCGGGATGAGGCGGTTCCGGGCTTCATGGTCCCAATGTGTGGAACCGGCCCATGGTGGTCCTAAGCCCACATGGTCCTGGGCTAAATGGATCGGGCCCACGAGCCTAACAGGCTTTTTTCGTTCCGGGCTATTTTTTTTAATTTTTTTTATCTAAGGCACTTTCTTGTAAACTATATATGTATATACTAGTATAAATTATTTATATATAGCTATATAAATATATATAGTATATATAGTATGTATAGTATGTATATATAAGGGTGTATTATGTGTATATATAATTATATATTGCCATATGTAATATATATTGCCTTATATATATGTATGTATGTATGTATGTATATATATATATAGTTTATACATACACATATATATAAGGCACTATATATATCTCTCTAATACATAAATGTACTATTTTAATCGATAATAATTGCTCTATAACTGATATAGCTATGATTGATAGTGGTGTAGATGTAAGTTGCATTCAAGAAGGATTAATTCCTACTAAGTATTTTCAAAAGACCACTCATTTGGTGAAATCCGCTTCTGGTCATGCTTTAGATATATAATACAAATTGCCTAATACTCATATTTGCCAGAATAAAGTCTGTATTCCACATTTCTTCTTTTTGGTAAAAAACCAGTTATACCCTCCAATCATACTTGGAACACCTTTTATTAATGCTATTTATCCGTTTAATAATATAGATGAACATGGTTTTTCTGCTACTTATCAAGATAAAAAGATAAGCTATTCCTTTGTTACAGATCCCGTAACTAGAGATATTAATGCCTTGATTAATATGAAACAAAGGCATGTTGATTCATTACAATTAGAAATTCTTAGTATGAATATATTCGATACTATACAATCTGCTAAAGTTCAGCAGAAGATTAAATTGATTGCTGAAAAAATGGCCGTTGATGTTTGCGCCGATCACCCTAGTGCCTTTTGGAACAGGAAAAGGCATATTGTAACCTTTCCATACGAAGAAAATTTCTGTGAAGATAATAGCTTTGACTTTAAATGTGAAAACGCATGGTTATAATTATGCGCCTGGTTCTGAACTTATATGTCTATCCTATAGGATTTATTTCAAATTGTTATCTACTTTGAATCCTAGATGTAAGTTATACGATACATCGGATCAGACCATATTGGTAGAAACCAATTTTGCAAAGTCCAAGGTCACCACTAGGAGATTATCAGGTGGGAGGAAATTAATTTTCCAACTACATGGACTTTAATTTCTGTTATATCCCCAAGTCAGATTACCAACGACTTGTCAAATACTGAATTTTCGCATGTCACTCAAAATCCGGATGGTAGGATTTGTATTCAATTTGATGATAAGTCTACTATTTATAATAGACATTCATTTTCTAATCATAGACTTCTACCTGCTATTCAACATATTTCCCCTATTGAACCAGTCTACGGTCCAGCTCGCAATCGTGCAGCTTCTCTACACACTATTGCTAGTGATAAGCCTGATCAAAAGGTTAAAAGGGTTGAAAGGGTTAAGATTAACCCTCAAACAAATATTGTTCAAGATAAT